TTTAAAACAATATTATGTAAGTTTTCTACAATTTTTGTTACATAATTGCAATTACTAACAAATATGTTGACACTGTCATTTAACTAAAAGTACAAATTTTGAAATTATTATGATTTTTTACAAGGCAAGCGAAGCTTAAGTGTTCCTTCACTGGTTAGTTTACCCTACTACACAATAAAATTTTATAATTGCAAGATCTCGATATGAATTTCAATATATAACTTAAAAGCAGAATAACTGAATTCTAGTTGAAATTTATCATTCAAAATTAAAAAAATACTTACCAAGAAAACGATAAAAATTTAATAATAATCAACATGAATAATATTATTTCAAGTAATTCGGCTCATTCTTTATTGTTGTTTTCCGAATTATATAGATTCAGAAATATATACTATTCGAAAACTATTACAGTTCTGTACGTTCTGAAATGGACAATTGCAGCGCATCATAATTTTATTTTATTTTCATATCTAACTTATTGGAAATTCTCTCCTGAAACCGAAAATCTGATTGTTCTTTTCGGCAAATGTTAACTTATTTAGTTATTGAACATTTAAATTGCTCCAAAAGGCCCCCGTAAGTGATGCAATCGAAAACGATCCCTGATTGGTTATGATGTCACATGTGCTGAATAGAAATGTGCCGTCTCCATCCGCTAAGGCTATTTCAATGCTCTTTTAGTTTTGATACCACGTATATCGTATGAACATCCTTTGTAAATTATTAGTAAAAATTTTGTGAATTAAATTTACGTTTTGAGAATGTGAACAAAATGAAAGAAAGATTTTAAAACTTCAAACGTTGTTATTTATCACTGAAATATCTGAAGAAATGATTATGCAGCTCTTTACAGCGAATCAACATTTCTTTTCGGTTGAAATCAGTGGTGTTTAAGTTCATAGAAAATAATATTTTATTTCACTAACTTTTAAATTAAAATAATGCTCCCTTACAGCCTAAGTACTTAATTAAAATAAGTCGCAGATTGGATAGAAATAGTATACATTTAGATATAGGATGGATGATTTTATAATTCGTTATTGCATTAAAATAAATCAGTATTTTCATAAATCTAGTTCATTGAAAAATATCAGTCCATCATCGTTACAATCTGTGTGCTAATGTTCAAGAATTCAAATAATGTAATTTAATGTTGCTTCTTTTATTTATTACTGGAGTTGAAGGATTTTCTTTTTAAGTGAATATTTACGAATGCAAATTATGTCATCTTTTTTTTTACTATGTATTAAATATTTAAATACACATTAACGCTTACATTTATTATTTCCACATCTAATTAACTCATTTATCTACAAAATTTCAGCGAATATCATTAAGCTAGAAGTTTTTGCTTCACTAAAGCTAAACAACAATAATAAAAAATTAACTTATACAAAATGGAAAGAAATTCTAATGCACATTCTTAACTATTTATTAAATAATTAAAAAATAAATAGTAATGTTGATATTTTTTTTTCAATATTTTTATTCTTTGAGTGAATAGGAACATTGCTATGGCGAAAAATTATTTTTTATATGCATTTATAAAATTTAATTCCTGTTTCTGTAATAAAGAGCTAAGTAAATGCATATGCTTGATTTCAAATACACTTATAACATAGATTAAGGCAATTAAAATAAAGTTAATAAAATCTACTGGAATATATAATTTTTTTTCTTTTAACTTTAAATTTTTTTGTTGAAAGAATAGTTCGAAGTTTTGCTGGGATCACAAGTTTTTTAAAAGGCTATTGCCATGCTGAAGACAATTGCATGCCTTGAATTTACGCTAGAATAAATAAATAAAAATTATCCATAACTTAAGCTTTCCTACATTTTAAAATCTAAAACTATTTATTCTACATAAAAAATTGATCCAACATTTCTTTCACTTAAGATGAAAATAAGTCTTCGAAATGAATTTGAAGTATACATTAAAATTAAGATTAATATGGTTAAATAAAAAAAAAAGAAGTAATTTTGTATTTATAACGCATTATTTAATAAGCAATAGCACACACTTTTTTTATTGAACTAAAAAATCTTAAATATTCAGAGCTGGAAAATTTCTTCAACTATTAACAATACTTCACAGTGGGAACCATTGAAATTTAACATTGTAAAAATACGTTATATTAAACCCACATTTTTATTAAGTGATATTAGGGCTCAATTTTTTATACAGATAGTTATTGGCCATTTAAAATAGTTGGATTTAATTACGAAAATTCAAGCGAAAGCAAGAAGGTATTGGCTTTCAGAACACAGCGATTGTAATGAACGGCAGATGGACACATGTGACGTCAGTTCGTGAATAATCACGTTACTCCCCGTTTCAGGTGAAAACGAAAGTAAGCTTCTTCTGATTAAAAATAACTAAACAAATAGCTTTCTTAGGAAAGTAATAAACTGTTTTCTGGGAGTTATGAGGGATTCTGAATGCATTAAAATTTTTAAAAAAATTTACTGTAATTGTTCATCATATTTATCAATTGGAATAAAGTGAGAAATGTTGACTTTACTTTTATTTGTAATGAAATGAAGACAAGAAAAAAGAAACAGGATTTTACCGTAATACACACATCTGTAGCAGTGCAGTATGGAAGTTATCGGTTGCAAGTTTATTGATAATAGAAAGGTAAAAATTAATGAGAAGTTTTTTCAAATGTTTGGCACGTTCTGTTTCTGAAAGATTTACCAATGTACTGGGTTGTTTTTTCAAGTACTTCTGCCTTTCCTTTAGGGAAATTTTGCTTCTTATTTGCCACTAAGAAAATGGCGTCCGACTTTGCCAATGATTATGATAGAACTAAATGCCTAATATTTTCAGGCTCCGCTAGAGGGCGTACTCAAGCGTTGCGATCGCGAATTGTTTTATATCATTTTAAAATTTGTTTGAATAAAATATAATTTTGAGGTATTTTCTTAAAATGCTAGACGCTACGAATTTATTTTTTTAAAACATAATGCATTATTCATAGAAACTTTTAGATAGCAAAAAAAAATGGTTAACTTTATATGTGGAAATAATACTTAGGAATTTAAATTAGATTATTGTTTGCTTTCCAAAAAAATAAGAGAATGAGTTTTATGTATCTTAGAATAAATTTTGAAAGGAACTTTAATAACTTTACTGTTATGAATTTTCTAATACATGCACAGTGTATGTGTACATTGTAAATACGTATATTTGAATGTACGCACGTATTTATACGTTACATGTAATTACGTACATGTATACGTTGTAGTATACATGTACGTATACATGTATACGTACATGTATATGTACATTGTGCATCTAACCATTTTTAGTACATCCATACATTACATGTGCAGATGTATTATCTAAGTACATATGCTGCGTGTACAAACCATATATCTATGTACATGTAATTGATGATTGTACACGCATGCACCTTATTTACGCAATTGTGTACATATAGTGTATCTAATAAACAAAATTCTTACATCATATTGTGCGTAAATACATACAATGTATTTATATACGTACATTGTATATACGTGCTATTATCGCAAAATTATACAATGTACGTACTTACGCTCACAAATGCATGCATGCGTATGAGCATTATTTTTACGTACGTTCATACATATATTGTCTATGTATACGAACATACGAAACATTGCATTTGCATACAGATTAACATACATGCGTACAATTATCATAAAAGCATAATTATGAGTACTAAGCATATACGTATTGCATTAAGTATATTACAATATAATTATGTATATTGTACGTACAAACAACGTTTTTGCATACATAGTATATGTATATATAGGAATCACAAATTGTACGTAAATGCTTGCTTACATTCTATGTACATAAAAATATGTATCCCCATACATACTTACATAATGTATTTGCATTTAGTATGCAATTGTAATAACTTGTAATTGTATAGTTTGATAACAAGCAATCACAATTACTTGTAATCAAGATTACATGTAGTCATGATTGCATGTAATCATATATTTTGATTGCTTGTAATCATAATTACCCGTAATCGTTCTTGTTGTGATTACTTGTAATTGCAATTACTTGGAATCATGATTACAATTGCAATCAAAATTTTGATTACAGCTGTAATAAGGATTACAAGTAATTGATTACTGTAATCATGATTACAGCTGTAATCAAAATTTCTGAAAGTTGTAATCACGATCACAAGTAATTGATTACTGTAATCGATTACATTTTTGCCCAACTCTGCATTGAAAGGTCATGGCTGCTTAAGAATGTAACAAACTAACTTCGGACACCACCCAAGATTTTAACCCAATAATAGAGCATTCATGAAATTGACTCGGAATGAAGGTGCATTAAATAACACCTAAAGAAATATTTAAATATTTCAAGATGGAAGATTGGTACAAAATAACAGCAGAAAAAAATATCTGAGCTACCAGAAGTAAATGACTAATCGGTAAGACGTTGTTATCCATGCAAGTTTATTAACTGCAAACAATTATTTTAAATATTTCTGCCAGTGTATGTTGACTTTTGACGGGCATGAGCTTCGCTGATTTTAATTTAAAACAATTTATGCCTCTTTTTTTTGTTTCTTAAAATCATGCTTTTTTTGTTTTTACCATATGAAAGAAAATTTTTGCAGGGAATTAATAAAAATTGTACAAATACATAAAAACTTACTTATAATAATCATTGCATAAACATAAAAATGATGCTTCGCTGACTTTCTTCGGTAACGAATTACTGAAGTAGTATTACAATACCGAATTCCAGTGAAAAATGAGAAGGTTTTGCAACCACTTGCACTTCGATCACAGAAACAAACACTTTCTTGATTCCCTTTAGGAGAAAAACTCCTTTTTGCTAATATTTTTTTCTCTGAATTTCTTCAAACATGTATTAAAATATTTTCATTAGAGATATTTAAGAAGTGCTTTTAAAATGGTGCAAAATATTTGTTACTAAAACAGAAGAGGTAAACCAGAGAATGTGTTTTTAACAGGTGGAGGAAGAACAGCATTTTCGATACGTCAGTGAATCCTCACTCTGGGACTCGATGGGAGGAAAGATATTCACAGAGGCAGACATCCTTCTCCGCTGCCTCGGAGGTAAATATTCTTTTTATTAAGTTTTTTCGTCTATTTATCTTATCTAGTTTGCTAAATAATTCATTCATATATTCTTGTCACTCAATTCATTCCTCCTTCCATTCTCTTCATTAGGCATTCAACCTTTCATTCTCATTCAGTCATGTCACGCATATACTCATTCATTTACTTGAGAGGGGAACATGAATTTCGTTGGGATTAAAGGGAATTATTAATTTATAAACTAGACACTGAAAAAAAAAGAATCTTTTGTAGTCATGACGAAAATTCCATACTATTCGGAAGGCATGCCAAAGCAAAATCATGGAATATTAACGAACTAATGAAGCGTTCTCTTAATATTTTAAGTTTTCAAGTTCGAGATGCTAGCTTAGCACATTTTTCGCTCTGTTCAAATTATTGCAAAACTATACGAAACTGTCAGTAAATTAAGCTTAAAACTAAGATTTTTTTTTGTGTGTTGAATAGCAGTTTGACTTTCAAATAATATGGCAGTCACATACTTTCATGTAAAAATGGAAGTGCAGAAGGATTCAGTGGTAGCAAACTTTCAGGTGAAGTACATTTATTTGGGTTGGAAACGATGGATAATCGCAACGAATTGTATGGTTGGAAACACTTTCTTGTCACAAGAGCAAAACATAAAAATGGGAGGACACAAACATGTGCATTATTTTTAGTGCAGTAAAATTAAGCTAACAATAAAAAAGACAACGGTCGTCATCAAAGAAGGTGTTCGTAATTATGTCACACGAAAGATGATAATGTTTTCTAATGTACTGGACTTACCCGAACTTGTTGCAGCTGTCACGCAACAAGTTCTTTAGCACTGTTGAAGAAGAAGCAAGTGAAGTCCGCTGCAATTGAGTGCATAACTAACCGTCCTTCTTGATTCAAAACTTGTTGAATCCATCCTAACCATGATTTGGGGACAAACCAGCGGAGTGTTCCCAATTTTTTAATGAATACATATATATTTCTGGAAAATATTCTTTATATCTGCAACAAAGATGTCTTTCTTTCAAAATGGATGACTAATTTCAGGTGCATAATCAACACACTTGATAATATTACTGAGCAGTTTTGATATTCTACGTTTGCTTCGCATATGTAAAATGAATAAGTGAATGATTTGATTATTAAAATATGTTAATTGTTTGCTGAAATCATTTTAAGATGAGTATTCGCGGTGGAAAACCGGTTCTGTGCTTAGAGCCTTCCCCCTCCTTTCTACCTCCTATAATAATTTCCGCACTTAGAGTATCAAAAATGTATTTTATAATTTCTATGATGCTTACAATAAGCACTGTGTTAAACGCAGTTTTGAATTCCATATGGTTTCCAAGCGTAGAATATTTTAGTTGGTTGAAATAGTAAATTAAGACAAATTTTAAATACTTGCTACTTTTATGGCTATCCTTACGCTATTAGTTAAGACATGCCTATAGAGTTGTCATAACTAAAAGCTCTGCTATGCGTCACCTGTAGCCCATGTTGATCGCCAATAGAGCTTTCATGAGTTAGTTTTCAGTGCATTTTTGGTTTATGCTTGTTTTCCTTGTAAAAAGTATTATCTAGTTAAAAAAAAGCATTTGTATTTCTGATTTCTTTTTTTTTCTTCAATTTTTTTTAAATAATTCATTGCATTTAAAATCGATGAAAAGTTTTCGGAGAAATTTAAGGACATGCGCTAAAATATGAGGAATTCTGTTTTAAAAGAATTTGAAAGTTTCTGAGCACAATTATTAAAAAATTCGAGAAAGGACCACAAGATTTTAGAACATCTTGTATTGCATTCAGGGGGAGTATTCTGAGGAAGAAAGGATTGCTGCAAATAAACTTGTTTTCTTCCGCTGTCCTTCCTTTTCGTGTCATGCCAACTGACTATTCATTTCCCATTGCTTAAATGTTTACAAACACTATATACTGATTTATCCCGTATTATTAACGTGTTTCGGAGTTACCTACATTTAGATACCTATATTTTAGTTAAAGAGAAAGCGCACGACTGTACTTAAATGACAATTCATAGGTAATTATTGAGTGGACGTTGGGCACCTGAGACTTCCGAAAAACTGCTAAAATTTTTCTTGATCATCATAAAAGTCTAGGAAACTTTTTGCATACATGACGAATATTATGTAAATGGTAGTGATTGCGAAATGAGGAAAGCTTCAAATTGCTTCGAGAAGTAATTTGCTACCTCTTGAATATTTTGAGTGGATTGGGAGCCCCTTTATTTCAACACAGTATTACTATGCTACCAGCAACTTTGCCAAAATTTTAGAGAATTTTTTCTGTATATTTAAAGTGGTAGCAATTTTTTACTTAAGTATTCGATTCTTGTTTTCATAAGAGTAATTAACAAATATTGTGATCATCACTATTCATTATTACAGTGAAAATACAAAATATTTCGTGAAATATCTTTCTATATTACAAAAATCATATGCGACGCCGCTGTTTTGGGTATTTACATTGCATTTTGCTTTGCAGCGCTAAAACTACCGTGATGCCAACTGTTGGGACAAAATGTCTTAAGAAACGGTAGGGAACTAGAAAGTAAATTTTACATTCTTTCGGTTAATTTTGCCAACTTCTTAAAAGTTTTATAGAAGACTATGAACTACTTAGAAGAAGTCATATAAATTAAATTTACTAAACCTAGAATCACAGATTACGAAAATATTTATCCAGAGCAAGCTGGCATCTCTGAAACTGAGTAGAAAATTGTACAGGAATTAAGATGGAATGACAATTGGTTCTAGAAAAGGAGAACATGTAGTAAGAAATTACCGTGCAGGCCTTATCTGCAGATTGGAAAAATGCACTTACAGATTTGAAATTTAACGAGTTGAAAGGGCCATTTTTATTCATAAACTTTTTCCATAAGAGTTTTTTTTTAAATTAAAATTTGTTTGATAGTAACTTTAGTTTTAAGTGCTTTTTGTCACTTTTTTTACCTCACTTCTTGTGCTTTAAATAATGACTATTTATAGTTGTGAGAAAAATTGATCACCCTTCTCAAGATCTTTATTTAATAAGCTTTTATATGCCAAAAGTAAGAGAGAAGGAGAGAGAGATTTACCAGCTTTTTAGATTTATATCTTAAAATTCATATAAAAATATGTAATTTTTCAAAACATAAAAACTTAATTCTAGAGAGATGAAAACGATTTCTTATTTCAACTGTCTTATAACGTTAACGAGTAAAATTACTTTTTTCTGTGTAACAATATTCTGTAATCCTTAGATTAAATATTTTATTTCAAGTGCTATTGATCATTTTCCAAATACAGGTAATCGTTCATTTCATTACGATTAACAAATTAAAAAAACGCTCTTTCACAAAATTACAAACACTGTATAACTCATTGGTAAAATGTCTTTTTCTTTTCGTGGTAAATATGAAATTACAAGGGAAAAAATAAATGATGAATGGTAAGCCATTATGGTTGTTAATGAGTGGTCAATAACTGTGGGATTGATATAATTATTGTAATAAAGGAATAATTATATTGGAATGAAATATATTTTTTTCCAGTGATGAGATAAATGTAGTGTGAGTGCTCATTCGTTCGCCATTTAAATGGAAAGACGTCTAGAAAGTCATTTATTCATTTCCTATGAGTATTGAATGACTGTGGGCCATGTTAAGTGATCGTGTCATCCTTATCTCGCATGATAATGCCAGATCCTAGAGAGCACGCAAAACTCAATCATTGCCGCAATCATAACTCTTCGCATGATGACTAAATGACATCACACTCAATCATAAAGCAACCCCCATTGCTGTGCAAACAGCTGCCGTTAAATGGGCCAGCAGACGTTGAACAAATTAGCTTTCGATGCATGGTGCTTTTTAATTCAAGTTTAAATTTTCAGGCGCTTGTTAAAAAATATCATTTTATTTGACTGTAATAATTTTGTTTTTGGAGGATCCATCTCTTTCATTAAAAGTAAACATAATAATGACGCATAAATTTAAGCGTTAGTAAAGTTAAACGATAGCTTGTGCTTTCAAATGTTAATTCAATAGTTAATTCAATGCTTGAATTCAAAACCCTTTTCACTGTCGGGATGATATAATTGCATAATTTTCTAGCGACGTGAAAAGTATCTCTTATGATAAAAGCTGTAAGATGTGGCTCGCAAACAAAGTGGATATTTTTCATTGTTAACTTCCACTCCTGTATAAAAATTCAATTATTTCAAAAAAGTCATTTGTTCCTGAATGGGGACGATAAGTAAATTCGTTCAAAATTTTTAAATGTTTTACCGTTTTAAAATCGGTGAATAGTGTTTTTAATGCTTGTTAATCTCTTGTCTTTGAAAACATTTTTTTACAATAAGGCAATAGGCTTCTTCTTTTCAAAGAGAATAAAAAAAATCTTCTATAAAAATTCGGGGAAATTTCGAAATTTGATCTTTATATTACCTTTGAATGAAACGAAGAATAAATATTTTTACAGGTTTGAGGATCGCATGAGTAAAACACGCAAAAGTGAGTAAAATTTACGATGAAAGTCACAAGGATATTAAAATTAAACAGAAGCTAAAACAATTGAAAATTTTTATTATAAGATTTTTTTAAATATAGCTTTTCATGTTGTTGTTTTTTTTTCGTAAAACAGTTAATAAGATTTTGTAGAAATTGAGAAGTGATATTTTTGTTTTCTTCAGCTGATTTGGACGGAAAATATGGATCTGCAGCCCTCAAGTACAACGTCGAAATCTCCAACTTAAAAATGAGCGAAGGAACTCAAAGGTTATTCAACAAAAAAAAAATTATTTCACAACTTTTTATTTAGTCTCTAATTTATTCTATTATGCACTGTGACCAATTTTATAACATATTCAGCTAATGCTAAAAGTTTCTTCTAAACTTAATAACTGTTTACTAACCAATTTTACTTTACACAGTTGTACAGTTAAAGGGGTGTACTACAGAAACAATTTTACATTAGGCATGAAAAACTGTATTCTGTGTGATGCCAAATCCAAAAGGATAAATGACATCTGGTTATTCCCTTTGTTCCCTTATCTAATAACAATGAGAAAACTTTTCTGCCATCAGAAACAGATCGAAATGTAAGTGTGAACACCAGAGTTTCTTAAACCAAAGGAAAAATTTGTTGCATTTATTTATGAAACACTTCGATTTATAAATATTGCAATGCTAAAAGGAGAATATAAATCACCTTTCGGATGAATACGTCATCCATTTTTAATGTAAACATGGTATCAATTCTTCTTCTAACTAAAGCTGTAAACGTTGAAATACGTGAACCACAATAAACTAAATTCTTTAGAAATAAAATGGTTCATTTGTATAATTTTTCTTTTGCCAACCGCATATGCTTATGGCTACAACCTCTTATTACCTTTTCATTCTAACGATTCATGCGTGAATTGTTATTTTATAGACTGAAGTGAACCATCCACTCTAAAATAGTGTGATCGAAATGTTGTAGAGAATTCCCCCCCCCCACAACTGGTGTTGAACATTTTAATACTTTTAAAATTAAATTATCATTATTATTATCAACGAATACCAAAGTCTGTAGGAAATGATCTCTAAGTACCATTTCCCCTCCCCCCTTTTTTTTTAATGTTATTGCTCAATAAACATCTTGAATCATTTATGAATAAAGAAAGAGTGACATTCTTATATGAGATAGTCCTAGGATATGACCAAGAATACCTTTCGCTATATTCAGAACAAGAAGTGTATGGAAATCTCTTCAGTATGCATTCTTAACCTGTTGTAAACTTAGGACATGGGATTCAAAAGGGTTCAATGAATTCATCAATCATGTTTTCGAGTTCGAAAATAGTACTCACTCTTTTTGTGAAATGTTGTAATGGGTGGTTTGTTTTAAAGTGACCATTCTTCTTAATTTTAGTTTTGTTTATACTTTACAGTTGTCTGGACATTTAGCTATAATGGCTGCTTGTAACCGGCCTTAAGATTGAAACAGAAACTTTGAAGGAAGTGTAGTGTTTTTGTAAAAATAATTACAGTATTTATGGGTTATAACGTTTAAATACTTGCTGAAGTTGTGTGGTATTCATGATATAACGACCTCACGTTATATAGTAAAAGTCGCTATAACGAACGCCGACGAATGATTACATGTGGGTCGGCAATGATGCAGTTATATACACTGCTCAAAACAATGAAGGGATATTGAGGTTGTGGGTTGATCTTGCACCTGGAGAATTGTTTGAATACATTATCGACAGATGTAGTAGGCGAGATGAGATAAAAATGACATTTGTTTGGCAGGAAAATGTATTTTATTGAGTATTTGATCACAAATGTGCATATGAGAAAAACAAATAAAAAAAGTTCTTTAAAAAAATATTTTTAGTAAAGGGTATGGTTTCCCCAGACGGCCAGCAACGGTGAACACTTATGAAGCATCGAGTCAATGCGGTTATTAATGAGGGGCTGGGGTATTCTATCCCACTCCTCTAGAACAGCTCTTTCCAGTTCTTGGAGAGTTTGTGGGGGTGGTAAGCGTTCAGCTATTCGTCTGCCTATAGTGTCCCAAACATGCTCGATTGGGTTCATGTCTGGAGAACACGCTGGTCAATCCATTCATATGATTCCTTCCTCTAAAAGAAAATCATTCACCAAGTTAGCATGAAGTGGACTGCAATTTTTGTCCATTAATATGAATCTCCAATTGCTGCAGCGTAAGAGAGTACAATAGGTCTCAGGCTCTCATCCTTACATTGGCGACCAGTCAGAGCTCCATTTCGAATGATAAGGAGATCGGTGCGCCCATCAATGGAGATGCAAGCATGGACCATCTCTCCTCCACCGCCAACTTAATACACTTTCGTGTACGAATGCAGGATTGTTTCTAGTGCCACGTGCCCTCCAGATGAAAATAAGCCTATTATCAGAATGAACATAAAAACGAAACTCATCAGAGAAAAGAATATTGTGACATTCATTTCTCCTTCAGTTCACATGCTCTGTTGTTCACTCCTTGCGGGTGCGACGGTGCCTTGCTGTTAACGTGACACACACCATTGGTTGGCGAGCTTACAGGTCTACAGCGTGAAGGTGTTTTCTGACAGTTTGTGTCGAAACTGTGGTGCCAGTAGCCGAGCGAAGACGTTGTTGAAGAAGAGTGGCATTCATATTTCGGTGTCGCCGAGCCATTAGCAATAAATAACGGTCTTCATTGGGCATTGTTGCAACCCCTGCCGTGATCTTCAACCTGCATTTCCAGTCTCCAAAAAACGGTTCCAGATCCTGGGAAATCACACTTTGTGAAACTCCAAAGGCTTCTGCTACTTCGACTTGTGTTTGCCCCCCTCTAACCGGCCAACAACTCTCCAAGCTTCTGATTCGGTTAAATGACTTCGTTGAGATAAGTTGAAAGCAAAATCAAAGTTGCTGCCGCTGAAGCGTCTTTTTTGACATCAAACTCAATAAACTTTGCGTACTGCGAAGTTTGAAAATAAGATAAATTTGCATCTATGGCTCTCTTCTTCCATTTTATACAAGGAAAAAAAATGCTTATTCTGTTATTTTCTACAAGACTTACAATATCCTTTAATTGTTTTGAGCAGTGCATGTATGATTACCAATGAACAATGAAAATTTATATTATACTATATTATACTAGTGGGCTGCTCCCCCTGTTCGCTAACGCTCGCCAACCCCGAAAATTGCTACGCAATCCTATATGGTTTGCTTCGCAAACCAAGCTCTCTTCGCTCGCTACTAACTTAGGTACATTACAAATGCACAGAATTCTAAGAATTCAAAACAATCATTCAAATCCATATAAAAACTTTTTTTTAAAAAAAATTACATCTTTTTAGTAAATACTAAGTCATTAAAATAAATTTGAATTCAAATAAATGACATGTAATTCGTTAAACCTATTAGAAATGTGCTATA